CTGGCACAGGTTGCCCAGAGAGGTAGTGGAGTCTCCTTTGCTGGAGATATTCAAAACCCGTCTGGATGCGATCCTGGGCAATATGCTCTAGAGGACCCTGCTTGAGCAGGGCGGTTGGACTAGATGATCTCCAGAGGTCCCTTCCAACCTCAACCATTCTGTGATTCTGTTTGTTTCTTTTTCCCTTGCCCAGGAAGACAAACGTGCAATGGAATTTGGGCTTTTTTATCACTGTTTTATAAAAGCATATGTTCATTTATTATAAAGAAAGTGAAGTCAAAAACATGTAGGTTAAAAAAAAAGTTCATGAAGTTTGAAAAAAAGTTTCTTTGATGGTTCAGACCATTTAGGCTAGTCCTGGGGAAATTCATCAGAAACAACAGGCTCCATTTTTTGGTTGGTTGGTTTTTTGGTTGGTTGTGTGTTGTGGGTTGGTTGTGTGTTATGGGTTGTGTGTTTGTTTTTAAGAAAATCCCCTTCAGTCAAAAGAAGAAGATTTTTAAGAATAATCTTCACCTTGCAGTAACTTTTTTTTTCTGTGTGAGAATCACAGCGGTCAGACTCAGTGGAATTGACAAATACCATAATTGTTTTCTTATCAAATGTCTACTCTTCATCTGTAGTTGTGCAACTTTTCTAATATTTCCTCATATTTATCTTTGCAGTTGCTACAGAATTTTGAGATCAAAATTTCTCCTAGAACTGAACCGGTTCATGCCAAAACTCATGGGCTTTTGACTCCTGGAAACTCCATCAATGTGAGATTTTCTGATAGAAAGTGAGACTCAAGTGTTTTGGAAATACTTGTATAATTTTCATGGGAACAGACACATCTCATGGATATTTGATCATATTTGTTCTCTGATTTGTAGTTATATGGCAAAATGATCAAGTCTTACATTCCATTTTAGTTCTAGCAGTACAGTAGAGAAGTTACCTCTCATAAAATATAATTACACATTTGGAAATATATACTGAAGCAATATCTTTTTGCACTGGGAATTTTCCTTTCCCTGGAAAGATTTCTAATAGTAACAACACATACACTGAAAAGAGCAAATGAAATTCAGGCATATTTGTATCATCCAGTGGTTTTGTTATACTGCTTAGTCATAAAAGTCAATTATTCGTGTGAGTCTGAGAACATGTAGAATTATTATATAATATATACAAATTAGCTGCATGTATGAGTTGTTTTCCTGGTTCTTGTCCTCCAGTGTGTTTTTTTTAGTTCCCACCTAACAGTGAAATTGAGGTCATTTTTCTCTCGTCTGTAAAAGCATTTACACTATGTGTGTTTAAAAAAAAAAAGGAATACAGTAATATGAACTGTAAAGATATAAAAAGTACAAATTATATCTGTTTGTTTAGAATCAAAATTCAGGACAGTTCAAAAATATTCAAACATAATCCCCATAAAATCTTTCTATATAACTGAAACCTTTTAAAAAATAAAAATCTTAAAAATTTGAACATCACTTTGCAGACTTACAAACCCAGACAGTGTCCACGTTACCAAAACATAAAATCTGAGTGGAATAGCACAAGCCACTTTCAATATTCTAACTAATATGCCAAAACCAAGCAGCAAGGTAAATAATAAAAATGAAGTAGTTGTTACATTTTGTCATTTAATTTTAATTAAAATACTACTGCTACAATGATAAAAACATTGTCTTTACAGTTCTGTAACAGTAAGAGCTGGAAACTTCCCATTGTAATGTGCTGAACCATAGACAGGTGCATAGCTGCCTTCTGTGGGATGGAAATGTGACTACTAAAGTGTTTTGAGTTTTTTTTTTTTTGTATCTAGTGAACACAGAGTGCACACTTGAAAGTTTTTTGTTGTTGTTGTTTTCTTTTTCCTAGAACAACTAACAGATAAGTCTCTCCTGCATGAGACGTTGATAACTTAATTTCACTGAGCACTAACCTTACCTTCTCATTCTTGAGAGAAACCTTGTACGTTGGGACCATGTTATCCCTTGAACACAGAGCTCAAGCTGTATATCCTAATATGAAATTAACTATGTAATAATCTGTAGTTAACTGTAGAAGTGTCAAGTTTTGATTGTTGTTTGTGCGGCAGTTTACATACTGATAATCATAGACTTTCAGACATATGCAGAGTTAGAAAAAGTTGTGCAACTCTGTTCTTAAAATCGCATTAATTTTATTTGCTCAACTAGGTATGAAAAGTCAAAGGTAGGTTATGAATTAAATAATATACTTCAGTTTTAATGGTGAATAGGAAATTCTGTGTAGCTGAGTTTTACAGATGCATAGTATTTTGGTTAATTTTTGTAGTGCCTTTTGAAGGTCTTGACAAGAGAAAAAAAATTGCCATCCTTCCTATGGATCTCCCTTGTAAAATAATAACACTAAATAAAATGGTCTGATCTTTGAGAAGATTAAATGTTTACATGTTAACTTTGAAACATTAATCCTGTATTGAGCATATATATGTACTATAAGAACAGAAGGTAATCTATGGAAGGATTTTTTTTTCTTGAATGAGCTTTCCTTCTTACATTGTTTTCTAAGATTTCACTTCATTCCCTTCTATTTTCTTTCCCATTGTTATTTCTAATGTCCCATCTTAAGTAGACTGAACAGTTTTATTTGCTAGAGGCAGCTGACATCCTGAAGGAGATGTATTGCAAAGGTGTTTCTAAAAGTCTGTGGATTGAGTGTTTGACTCCATAACTCTGTCAGTTTATGTGGGCCTGTGGACCAAAGGCCCAAGCCCTGAATCCAAATTTGGATTCTTTATGGGGCCCTCATTTTGCATTGTCATAGCATCATTAGAGACACCAGCCTACCAATTCCAAACTAATACGTCACTCTACAAGAAGGAAGAGGCATTCTAAAAATGCTGTTTAAAGCATTTAAATCTTTTCATGAAAGCAGAAAAATCTGTGTTTTTTTTTTAATGGAGCATCTATACATGTAATTTTTCTTTTATACATAATAAAGTATTTATACAGAATTTACAAGTCCTGGTTCTCATTTTAATTGTTATTTATAATTGCATTTTTCTTTAGTGTTTTAAAGTTTTTCACTTGATGGATAGGACTGGAAGACTCACTAGTACATAGGTAATTACTAGTTCAGCTAGAAAAGATGGGGATTAATACAAGAATGTAAGGTACATAATGACCTGGCTGAAGGAGCGATAATAATGTGTTATATTAAAAGAGAACTGTCATTCTGGAGGAAAGTTACTAGCAAAGTTACTCAAGAAATAGCCTGGGACTGGCTTTTGATTAATGATAATTGCTTAATATGTAAAAGAGTATTACCAGTAGAAAAATTGAAGGTATAGAATATAGAAACAACTGATCCAGAATGTGAGTAGTAGAGATGGGATGGAATTTAATAGTAGAAGACATGTATGTAGAGAATAAAAAGAATTTATTTGAGGAGCTCACCAGTTGAAAATGACATGAGGAGGAAGACCTAGATAATAACAGATGACTGTAAACTGCAAGTATGAAGCAGTAGTGGGGAAAAAAAAAGAACCTAGAATGTATCAGAGAAAACATTTCTGGTAGAGATCGGGGGAAAAATAGGTGAGACTGCATCTGAAGTACAGTTTGGTTGTGTGTTCAAGAAAGACGGAGTCCAATTTGAACAGGTAAGGGGACTATTAAGATCATCAGGTTAATTAAGAATGTTTCTGTGAGTAGAGAAATGTACAGTGCTTTTTACTCTACCTCCCTGTGGCCTAAGCAGACCACAAGCTTGCAGATCAAGCTCTGGTGCCTCTGAAAGCTATGTAGTCATGGGATTAGTAGAACTTGCTTCTTTGGACACAAAGCCATGCTAACCTGACTATTCACTTTCCAGTTGGATTAGACAGCAGGTAGAGCAGACATGGATGTCTGCAAGAGACTAAATATATTTTCAAAAATATTCATGTGGTTAGTCTAGAGAAGTGAATATTGAGAGAGGAGATAGTTGCTGTCCTGAAATATCTTCAAGTTAAAGTATTTACTCCTTAAGGTAAAGGAGAAAGCTTGCCCAAAACAAATATCACCAGCTAGCCATGGATGAATTTAGACAAGTGAGGAAAGTATCTAGCCACCAGGAGAGTGAGAGTCTAGAATAAATTTCCATGATGAATGGTGAGGACAAAAAAAGCCCTGCCCAGCCGTGAAAAAATACTTAAAGATGGAGTATGGTCCAGCTACAAGAAGAATTATCTAAAGTTGTTGTTCAGTTATGTAAGAGTTGACCAGAGTTCATGACACAAGACCTCTTCTAGTTCTCTGTTCAGACTTTTTGCTTGAATGATAATTGTGGTTGTTAGTTTTTTGAATTCAATACAAGCAAGTATTACTAGTTTACAAAGCACTAGCAACTATAGGTATTTGAAAGAACACAGCCTACCTGAGGCTGCAGTATATACTAAGAGTCACAGAATTTGAAAAGAAATCACCCAGAAGCATCAAAATTCAGAAATTGGTAGAATACCTTGCTTTTTCAGTACCTTGTTCATGTGTACTGTGGAATACAGGAAGGAAAATACAGGCCTATTTAGCAAACGAGGAAGAAAAGTTTAAGGAGGAAGTTCATGAAAGCATTGCAACTGGATGTTTGGGAACATAGAATTACTCTTAGGTTTTATTTTTTCATGACACTTCATACATTCAAAATTAGAATCACTGTATTCAGTCAGTCTATTCTCATTTTTTTCTTACTCTGTTGTAGGTACATAGGCCTGGAGGCCTATAAGGCCAGTGTGAAGTAGTCACAACTCCAGGAGAATCGTATGCCAGTGGTGAATAAAACTTACGAGCTCCGTAAGTACCCCTGTGATGATGGACTGTGAAGATGCGGCATGCCTGACGGCTGTGAACGCAAGAGAAGGCAGCACTGGGGGTGTGCTTGGAGCTAGAGGTAGATGAGTTGTGCTGTCATGTATAGGACTGGGAACGAAGAGGAGAGTCACACAGGATGGCGAGAGTTAGGCTTTGGGGCTATACCAAATAGATAGTCTGTGGTAGGAGCATACGTGAGATCTACATTAAGGAACTGGAGAAGTGAGCTGTCGGACATGGGTAGGATGAGGAAGGAAGAGAGAAATGGGATGAGGTTAGAGAGCCGTTCAGGCATACTGGTGTGTGTGCTATTTGTACCATATGCCAAAAAAAATTTGCACTACTGTTCTTGATCATTGAGTTTGTTCCTTCCTATGTCACGTTGCCATATCACATTCATAAACCTAAAAAAAGCTGTTATGTAACTATTAAAGGTTCACATTCTAGGTAATGCCAAACTTACCCAGTGCATGGCCAGAGAAAGACTCCTGATGGATATAACAAACCATTAATTCCCAGGGTTCCAGAGCAATTTTGGTTTGCACTGGCAGGCTCCCACGGAGGCTGATATGTTGCAGGGTTTTTCACTGCCTGAAGCATCAACAGAGGATTTTCAGAGTCCTGTGAAAAGCAGATGCTAAGATGATGTAAAATGCTACCAAATTATATAGTCATAGCACTGTACAGCTACTCAGAATAGATTAGCCAAATCAGTCTCTATGGAAAGATAGTCCAACTGCTGTTAGACACAGGACCCTTCTGATTTCTTCAAATAAAAAGAAGGCATAAAAAAGAGGAGGGAAGGAAGGAAAAAATGGATTTTCTATCCACTGTGGTTAACACATCAATAAATTCTTGCATCTTTTTCCCTTCCAGGGGTATTCACTAAAAAACCAAAGTAAGTAATATGTATGCCCAGAGATTGCAGGTATGTGGTGCTTGTTTCCCATGGTTTATGCCTTTTTATTCTGACTTAAAAATGAATAAATGGAGAAGTTATGTGGATATTTTAAAAATAATTTCATCTGAGAATTTCCCTTATGGTCTCCAAAGTGTAATTTTCCTCACAGAAACTCAAACCACTTTTTTGGTTTTTTGTGATTCACTGAAAAACACCGCTCTGGTTTTAGTACCACTAGATGGTGCTGCCTTTGTAGTATTCCTTAGTGCAAGTCAGATTATATCTAAGAAAAAAAATGATACAAATAGCTAAAAGCAATGTATTCACTAAAACTTTCTAAAGATATAGGAATTTTGTTATGCTTGGTTGATAAAGACTCAGCCCCTGCATATTCTTGTGTGTGTGTGTCAGTGTGCTCAGTTTATATGTCTTTCATATGTGTACTTAAAATAGCAATTTGCATGTAACAAATAGTATGATATGACCAAAGTTTCATGTAGGCCTGGTTAGACAAAATTCAGCCTTTGCAGTCCTGTATGCCCTGTGCTGAGGTATATCTTTCACAGAATCTGTTAATCATTAAGATTCAACAATGTACCTACTATCATGCAAAATTCAAAATCAAGACAATTCCTATCTGAAAAGATTACGGTCTAGCTGAGATAAGAGCAAAGACGACAGGAAATAGTTTAGAAGGATATTTTGCTTGTTTCAAGCTCCATTGTTAATTATGATTCTGCACTGCAGTAAACAGCAGCTCTTTTGACACTAATTAAAAGGGTATTGTACTAGTCTTGACAGTGTTTGTCTGAAACATGCTGCT